CGGAGGTCTAACAAGCAATTTACAATGGATAGAAAGTTTCCTAATAAATTACAACCCATGACACTTTACAAAGACATATCTTACTTTGATACATTAAATTAATAATTCAAAGCTGTGTTTACCTTTGATAAATTAAGCACATTTAATAAAACTAATATTCAACTACCGCTACTAAATGACATTGACAGATGTCATAGTGATGGGACGTATATTCCAATGATAGTGTTGCGCTAATCCTCCAGCACAGTACTGATTTTCTTAACACTTAGTAAACAAAGTTGCTTCCCGCTATCTGGCCCTACGTATGCTTAGATCTTTAAAACTCACGAACTTTAATAAGCGTTATTCCACAACGAAGAACATTTATTATATCGTTGTAGCTACAACGTTTAATTCTGGTACCATCGGGGAAATTGGTGCTGTTGTGAAGAAGTGGCGGAGTTTGTCACGTTGCAAGGAGGAAGGCAATTTACCTGTAAGTTGAGCATTGCTAGTTTCCACCTACTCACTGTACATCACCATTGAGGGGCTCGGAGCCTACCCTAAGTTAGGGTGACTAGGCCACTATTCATTCATAAACTTGTGACGTTGTATCTGGCATGCAACGATTCGACTTCGTATGTCACGGATGGACGAAGAATGTCATTAGGTTACATGACTAGCGAGGAAGACGAATGTTGTAAATAAAGAATCAACTGTCTTTAAACTCAAATAAAAATGAATATCCTTGTTCATGGTACAAATATTGTTACAGTACATTGGATCCTCAGAGACCCATTCTTTTACCAAATTGTAATAAATTGTGAGGTAAAACACACACACAACTTACGTAAAATAAAAAATTACAAAAAAAAATATGTAATGTAAAAAAAATTCTTTGTTGGATTTAGTTGTTTTGAGTGCAAACAACAATTTCTAGTAAAGTTTTCCTAGCCACGGAGCAGTGCTTTATTACCTACCAGAAAATACTTTACGATTCCCAAGCCGGCTTAAATTTATACTACAGCGAGTAGTAAATATATTTTGTAACATTGTATTCCAACTATGCAAATAAAAGGGTTTACATCTGTTATTAAACAGAAATAAACAAACACATGTAGAATTCGTTCATTTAGAATGTCCTTCTGGACTATAACATTCTGAGAAAGAACGAAAATTAATTAATACCTTACTTGGTAATAAATCTAAGGGTATATCCCCTTCGGAAGATCCATCAAGCTGTTTAAGCTAGATTGAAGCTGAGCGGACATTTCTGGAAATAGACACTTCAGGAAAAATTGCGTTGTTAATTGTAACGAGACAAACTCAGATTCATCCTCATCATCACCAGCTCACTATACGTCCCCACCGAGGTGCTCGGAGCCTACCCTAATACGAGGTGACTAGGCCATAGTCAACCACGCTGGCCAAGTGCGGGTTGGTTGACTTCACATATATCTTTGAATTTCTTCGCCGATATGTGCAGGTTGCATCACGATGTTTTCCTTCACCGTAAGAACGTCGGGTAAATTATGTACATATGAAAATTCGAAAAATCGAAAATCATATGGCGGGATTCGAACCCAAAGACTTGTAGATTACAAGTCAAGTGTTCAAATCACTGAGCCACCGACGCTCTTAGATTCATCCTACAAATAACTAATTAGTTAGCAGTGAGTGCAAACATAGGGATAATAATAAAAAGAAACTAGCCGTGTATTACTAACTGACTTTTTTTTTTCAAAGAGATACATTTATAACCTATTTTTTATACAATAAGGAGGCAAACGAGCAAGCGGACACCTGAATCCGCCAAAATGGCGAAGCTCCCGCTGCCCATGGACATCCGCAATCGCAGATGCGTTGTCTGCCCTAAGTCGACGGAGAAGAAGACGCACATTTTTTTCAACATTGTTATATTATCTACGCAACATTCGGATTTTTTTCATGGACGAATTTGATGGGAATGGCCAGTTACTTTTTAACAAAAAAAAAACACTTTCAGGAAAGAAAAATCACAAAAATAATCCGCGAAATGTCATGTTACTTTAAGATTACTTGTAGATTGTAGAGGGGCAGGGAGACCCAAATCTGACAAGGGTTAAAACGGATGTGCACTTTGCTGACTTACATATTTTTATGTTTGGGATTATTTATGAAAGTAGAAAATTATATTAGGAATATAACTATTTATAGAAATGTACTTTTATGATATAAGGAAGCCAAAACATATATGAATCCACGAACACTCAAATATTACCATACTAATGAAATTTGTAGTAGTCAGGGCAAGCGCACACCATTGACAAAACAATCGCACAACAGTTGTGCGATTGTCGATTGTTTTGCAACCTATTTAACAGTTTAGTTGCACACTTAAAAAATCGAGTAGTGTGCTATCCATATAAGCTCATAGGAATCAAAGAGCGACTAAACAATTGTGCGATAATTTCGTTTCAGATGTACGCACCCACTTAAGCGTTTCGAACTTTTTACTTTTATTTGCATAGACAAGAAAATATTTAACGTCTGTAGGTCATAAATTTAAAATAATATATCTGACGAATTAACATTAAATAAAAGCATTTTCTAATAAAATGAATTGATAAGACAATTAAACTGAAATGCGATCTAATCTGAAAAGCGCTAAATTTTCAAAAGCGGCGACAGCCTCTTCATTAAAATGATCCTAAAAGGTGAACTTAAAGGCATTTGAGTGACGTTGATTGGGAGCGAAAATTACTCTAAAATATATAGAAATTATTTAATTTAATCGTTTAAAAAAAATTGCTTAACAACGGTGACAATGGTAGGCTTTAACATACTAGAGCTCGCTTTAACATCTAACAACAACAAGAATATGGGCGTGAAGTGAAAGCAATTCGGCGTTTCGACTGAAAAGTGTGGTGCCGGAGCTCCAATTTTTTGTCCATTTCCTCTCCCACCATTTTCATATACGGAAAGGATGGGACAGGAAAGTGGGGTTTATAGAGGAAACGCATAGGAAGGGGAAGTATACTCTTTATGTGCGTCTCCTTCTTAGTTGATTAAGGGTAGGCAACGCATCTACCATAGCTTATCTATACGGGCAGAGATCGCTTCGCTTTCTTGGCGAATTCAGACGGCCGCTCGCTCGTTTGCCACCTTGTTATATTAAAAAAAAACTTTCCATTTTCCTACATCACTTTAATTTATGTTACCAAGTAACTTTGCAAGAAACTTGGTATCTACCTTTTGAAGTCATAGAAAATATTACATGTAAAATTATTTCGTAGCAATCACCTGAAACGACTTATGTAAAGTAAAAAATTAGATCGAAAAAGTTACCTGAGATCGTGGGAACCCTCACTAAATTAGCTCACTAGCGTCCTCTGTTAATGTCAAAATTTACATAAGATGGTTGTTGTATTGTAGGAGTCTTGTTGTCTTTATATCGTTTCCCATGGATATGTATATTTTTCATATTTCTGTCAAAATTATTTGTTATAGCAATGTGTTTTTTTTTATATGGACATTGATTCCTTAAAACGTGTAATCCCATAATAACCTAGTACAAAATACTTAAACCATAGAAATAAAAAGAAAAAAAAAAGTGAAAAACTATTAAGAATACATATTTACGTATACTATAAGGCCTTCAGCACCATGCTGCTAACTTCGTTATCTAGATCCGTCACTGGCTCGGTTGAAGCAGATAAAAGTCCACTAACATGGTGTCTCAGTAGATTGTTTCTTAAAGAGTTGTTCTCTCTCATTATTGTTTAGGACACACTCCGATACCTTTCTTATAACAGATGCTGTAGTTAACTTGGCTTTCGTCATGAGAGGCTTCAAGAGAGAAACCACGGTCTTAGCATCATTTCCTTGCGAAATCTATTAAAATATGTGTTAAGTTCTATTTACTTGTTCAAACGAAAATGTTGATTTTGATTTTCATCTTATAATTTGATTATTCATAGTTATTTAAAACATGACTTTTTAAAGAAAGTAAAATATTTTCTTAATCCTACTAACTTTATTTCTTACTAATATTATAAATGTGAAAGTTTAGATGGATGGATGAATGTTTGTTAGAGTTTGTAGCCTAAACGGCTGAGCGGATTTTAATGAAATTTGGTATATATAGATGTGGAGGATAGTTTGGAAGAACACATAGGCTAGTCACTTTTATTTTTTTTTAATTCCGAGCGGACGGTCGCGGGCGAAGGCTAGTATGCTTATAAAGTTCTTACATCTTATCTGTATGTATAAAAGGGATCTTGTTATCAAAATGTAAATTTTTGGTAAAACATTTTATGAAGGTAGATTAGAAAAGTTTGATTGCTAAATTTTCACAATTTTTAACGTTTATATAGCATTGGCTATACCGCGAAATTTAATAATCATACTAATATTATAAATGCGAATGTTTAGATGTATGGATGGTTGGATGTTTGTTAGAGTTTGTTGCCTAAACGGCTGAACGGATTTCAATGACATTTGGTATAGATGTAGAGAATAGTCTGAAAGAGCAAATTGTTACTCACTTTTTTTCTTAAATTCACGCGGACAGAGTCGCGGGCGAAAGCTAATTTATAATAATTAGTAACATTGATTAACAAATAGTTCATAAATAAATTTTACTAATAAACTTTCTTGAATAATTTTGTTGTTACTAAACACTTTGTTAAAAAGTTGCTTGAAAATTCTAAGATAGTTCAAAAACATTTTCAGTCTCCTAACTTACTTGAATGCTTTATAATAAAAATATGGAATAAATTCTCAAATCTTTAAATTATCTTGTGAGTCCGCAAAAGCTTTTCTAGGTCAACACTGAGCTTTTGATATCTTTTGTAACCGTTAGCTTTTGTATTCAAAAGCATTTGAATAGATGTGGATAACTCATTACGATGAACAAGTATGGAAAATTGAAACTTCAAAGCGAAATACGAGGTTAGGACGGATTTTCTTATCCTAACCTCTATTATTATAAATAGAAATAATTTTTTTTAATAATAATAATTCATTTATTGTCTCTTTTGCATACATTTCATGAAAGTCTTGGATCCTGTAGTAGGTTGCCCTGTGTCACAGGAGCCAACTCCTTCCCCAATACTTCATTATAATTCTTTTGATGTCTATACAAAGAAAACAAAAAAATACATTACAATTAATGAGTTATTTTGAAACTATTAAAAAAGGTACAAGAAAATTTAAGGTATTAATAACATTTTCGAATAAAACAATTATAATTAACAATTAGATATATTGAATTCTTACTTCTGACTAAAATAATACATGAAAGTTTGGATGGATGCTTGTTAGAGTTTACCAGTAACTGAACGGATCTTGATTAAATCTGGCATGGATGTAAAGCCAAGTCTAAAAGAAAAATGGAATACTTAAATTCCTTTTTAATTCTAACAGACTAAACAATATATAAACAAGACAACTAGTGATGTCATAAAAGTATGTAGAAGGAACACGTTAATTTAACATTGTCTTATTTAATATATAAAATTTTATATTATACTAGCTTTCGTTCGCGACTCCGTCCGCATGGAATTAAAATAAAGTAAATCCAAGAATCAGAAAGATCCATCCATAAACGGAATAAATAGTATCCTATGTCCGTCTCCTGGCTCTAAGCTATATCCTACCCAATTTTCAGCCATATCGGTAAAGCCGTTCTTGAATTATAGTGTAACTAACACTACTTTCTTTTATGTATATAATAGACTAGTTCCCATGCGATTTCATCAGCATAAAATTATTTTATTGTTTACATGTGTCAAATTGTCAATTGCAAATGTCAAAATGACATTACACGACAAACCTTGGCAACCATGTTTCCTTGATGTTGGCAGCAACTTATGGTATCTTTCCCACATTAGGGTCTTTATCCAAAATATTTACCACCAACTTTGATGGTGTGAAAATATATAGCCTAAAGCGTGACGTAGGTGTAGGGCTTTTTATTAAAAAAGAGTTATTCAAAAATATGCTGTAATTACTGACATCTTAGCAACAAAGAAGTGTGTTTACGCTTTATTATAATAGTATAGACAGATGAACGCCACTGTTATCTTTTACAATCAAAACAGATATGATAAATTCAAAATGAAGCATAAAGGTTTTACTGTCACCGTTATTAAGCAATAAAAGTTAAGCTATTGTAGGGTCCGGATAAACAGATATCGCATTTAACCCACCGTAAGCCGAGGGTCAGAGCTCAATTCATTTTAAACTAACCTAACCCTTATTTAGGATATGTTTGCTTTATTGTTCACTAGTACGGTCACTGCTACGTTCTGGGATTTGTGAAATTGGACATTAAAATATATTAAATCACTTATGCTGGGTTTCTGAAGTTCCGATTATTTTATCACTAGCTTGCGTCAAAACTTCGTCCCCGTTATATTAAAAAAAAGTGAGTAGCCTATCTGTTTTTCCAGACTACCCTCTATGTAGCCAAATTTCATCGAGATCCGTGCAGCTGTTTAGGCTACAAGCTCTAACAAACCTCCATGCATCTAATCTTTCGCATTTATAATATTAGTAAGATTACCCAGTGATTTATTAGAATTAAGTTAACCTAAGTTTCAACGGAACAAAACTCAAGTTAAGTAGTTCGGAAACTCATTTCATGAAGTTATCGAGCCAACACTAAGCAATAGTTAAACGTAGCTGGGAAACCGGCTATTAATTGTGTTGTAATTTCGTTATGAAATAGAATGAAAAGGGTTAAAAGAATTTAATTAGGCATTACTCTATACTAATATAATAAAGAGGAAAGATTTGTATTTTTGTATGTATTGAAATAACTTAAAAACTACTAGGCCGATTTTAAAAATTCTTTCACCCTTAGAAAGGTAATTTATGTGAGTTAATAGGCTATATTTTTTTTATTTCACACGCGCGAACTCACGAGTAACAACTAGTACAAAATAAGTATAGTTACAACGTCTGTCTGTAAAGTGTTAACTTGAAGTCAACTAACTATTACTAGTAAAAATTACTTAATTTTAATCAAAATCAATCACCATTTCTAACCTAAAATTTAGACTGATAGCAATTAATGCAATGCAGTGACTGTTCCATACAGTATTTAAATTCGTACAACAAAATGTATCATGTCCTATTTACAGCTATTTCCAACCGATTGCGGTTAGTGGTATTAGAATTAATGGATTTTCACGTGTTAAATATTTATTCAATTTGTGAAATATGCGGGCAAATGAATTTTATTTTATAAATATAAATTTATTGATGAAATTCAAATAAAATTTTCCAAATGTCAGTCTCTAAAAGTTGAATTGGTTAATTTTAATATTGTTATTACAATTGCTTTAAAATTCGAATACAATTAATGTACATTTCAATTATTTTGCTTTTTGACCGACTTCCCAAAAGAAGGAGGTATTCAATTCGTCGGTATATTTTTTTTTTTTTTTTTTTTTTTTTTTTTTTTT